CCACAATACTGTCAGCTTCCTTCCACTCCTTCCCACTGATAGCTGCAAGCACACAATAGGATCCTTCAGGATGGAGAGAGGGTAAGGGTCCATTAAATATGTCACGTTAACCAGCCCCTTCCTTTCCTGAATGAACACAATGAGTGATTGGTACCAATCACTCACTGTTGCATAATATCTGAAGCATAGTTTTGTTTTTTTTGGGGGGGAGGAGGCTGTCAGGTTGGCTGTATGGAGCCCTAACAGCAGTCCTATTGGTGCTCATTCATGCATGCAGCCCGTTGGTATGTGATGTGCAGCTCTCAGACCTCAAGAGAGAACATTGATTAGGGTGATTTATGTAACATGTTCCCAGTTTCATATTGTCTTCTGCAGCATATCCCCAACCAACAATGTATCCTGTCCACACTTTCCGACCTTCATTTCCTCTATCAAGTTTACAGTCTCTGACAATCCTCCAAAGCATTACATATATTGAACATTATGTGGGGCCCTTTGGTGATGTCAGGGGCCACTATTGAGCACCCCTTTAGCTCATACGTTGACAACCATTGGTTAGGTAGATGGCTTGAGTTGGTAGCACAAATACCTTCAACTGTACTTTACTGGGTGGCCCTGCCCATGACTGCACAACCTTTGCTAAAAGTCTTAGCCACAATCAGCACGCTTGCCTCTAGCCTCATCCATTCCCATGGCTACTGCTGTACAATGGTTGGGGCCCATTATGGAAAAGGAACAACCATAGGAATCAAAGGTCCAAGAGGTGCACATGTGCAGTAGGAGATGGACTTATTTCTGCAAAGGCTGTGTGGTGTTGGGTAGGACCTCACGATGGAAAACTTCAGAGCAGGACTGAAAGTAAGTATTTAAGTAGGTGACGGCCTCTCAGGGGTGAAGTTCTTTAATAGGAAAGAGATCATAGGGAGCTATTTTCTCCAGAAAACATGGCAACCATAGCCATGACTGTCCAAAATAGTTGCACTGCCACATCACAAATCAGGAAAATTGGCTTGAACTGCTATTCATCACTACGGGAGAGAGATGCTGCTTACACTTATCCATATCATAGTATATCTCGTAGTAGTTAGTCACATTCAACTAGATTTGTTCTGTATGTTGAAGGTATTTTGTTGCTTATCTAAGCCACTTCCTCAGTTCTAATGAAAGTTAAGGACATACCCCAACATTTACATCCACACCTTATTCCAATCACCATGGAAAGTGTTAAGGCAGATGTTGATTGTCCAAGAACAGGATGGGAGGTGTGAACATTGTAGAATCACCATGTTCTAGTTATACAATCCCATCCTTGGTGTCAGGAAGTCTATATCTTGGACAGTTGGTGCTTTGGTAAACTCAATGTTAGCAGGTTAGGGCGTAGATCTTCTTTAATGTAGACCAAAGGGTCTCCAAATTTCTAAGCAAAGTTCCAGTTTACTGCCCTTCAAATTTTAGGAGGGCTGACCTGTGGCCATTAGGAGTAGAAAACATCGAAATGTTGGTATCAGTGGGAGGCATAGTGCTCAATAATTGATGTCAGTGGAAAGAATAGCATCCCATTATGAGTATCAATGCGAGGCATAGTGCCCCATAATTGGTGTCAGTGGAAAGAATAGTGTCCCATCATTGGTGTCAGTAAGAGGAATAGTGCTCCATCATTGGTGTCAGTGGAAGGAATAGTGCCCCATCATTGGTATCAATGAGAGAAATAGTGCCCCATCATTGGTATCAGTGGGAGGAATAGTGCCCCATCATTGGTGTCAGTGGGAGGAATAGTGTCCCATCATTGGTGTCAGTGGGAGGAATAGTGCCCCATCATTGGTATCAGTGGGAGGATTAGTGCCCCATCATTGGTATCAGTGGAAGGAATAGTGCCCCATCATTGGTATCAATGAGAGAAATAGTGCCTCATCGTTTGTGTCAGTGGGAGGAACAGTGTCCCATCATTGGTATCAGTGGGAGGAATAGTGCTCCATCATTGATATCAGTGGGAGGAATAGTGCCCCATCATTGGTATTAGTGGGAGGAATAGTGCCCGATCATTGGTATCAATGAGAGAAATAGTGCCCCATCATTGGTGTCAGTGGGAAGAATAGTGCCCCGTTGTTGGTACCAGTGGGAGGAATAGTGCCCCATCATTTGTGTCAGTGGGAGGAATAGTGTCTTATCATTTGTGTCAGTGGGAGGACTAGTGCCCCATCATTGGTGTCAGTGGAAGGAATAGTGCCCCATTATTGGTGGCAGTGGGAGGAATAGTGCCCCATCATTGGTGTCAGTAGAAGGAATAGAGCCCCATCATTGTTGTCAGTGGGAAGAATAGTGCCCTATCATTGGTGTCCGTAGGAGTAATAGTGCCCTATCAATGGTGTCAGTGGGAGGAATAGTTCCACGTATCAGTGGAAGGAATATTGCCCCAACGGCTGGATAAAGGCATGCAAAGGGTCACATCCAGCCCGTGGGCTGCAGTTTGGAGACCTCTGATGTAGATGATGTATGTTTGGCAAAGTGGTGAAGATGTCTTAAAAGTGAGCTAGCAGGAGGCAGGAGTTTATGTAAAATACCCCCAAGTGACGGCAAGCTGCCATTTGAAGAGGGCTTTGTAGATCCATCAAACTGCATTGGCTTAGACAACTTGGAAGCAGCAGGGAAGCCAACCGGATGTTATTTTTCAGCTATACTTTGGAAAGACTGCTGTAATATGATGAACATATGCAGTAATATGATGAAGATAATGAGCACAAAGTGGGGAAAAAACCTGTTAAAACAAATGTAATTTTTGCTTTCTCCAGTTTCAAGGCCCATCCAGACCTTTCTAGTGTGGTGTGTTGCCAGACGGCACTTTAACACATTGCAATGACCTTCATTGCCAATGGCACATCAACACAACGCAACTCATTGTCAATGGCACCCCACGGATTAACATAACACACCTGTGAGATGCGTTGTGCGTTATAGTCCATAGTGTCGGAAAAAATGTCCAGTTCCTGGTCCATTATAGTGTGTTGCCAGCCCAGTCATTTGAATGGGCTTCCTTATAGCTGAAGCCCAAGGAAAAGAAAAGTCCACCTTTGCGTTGGAGCTCTCTACATACTACACGGGTTTAATTCTGGTTCATGCCTCGAGTAGCAGTAAAAGGACTTTAAGGGCTTGTTTTCACTTGCCCCAGCAGTGCTGACTGGTATTCAGGCAATACTGTTGCCTCACAGATACCCATTTTTAAATTTCTGAGCCTAGCATTTGACTTGTGGTGGCAGTGCGGCCCTATTTACTTGAATAGGTTCTGTTTGGTGGTGGTACTGCCTTTTACTCTGTTTTTCTTTTAAGCTCCGCACACTCGAAACAACACCAGGTGGATAAAAAAAGGGAGCATACAAAAAAATGCACACATGAGCCTCCTCCAAAGATAAAGGACCCTGGCCCTGATCCCCCGATTTGCAAAGCTCCTGACAAGGACTGGGGTACTCGTGACCCACCCAGCCAAATCTAGAAGGACTCCCTCTCTTTGGGAGGCCTGCTGAAGCAAGGCGTACCCAATTACTAGGTGGAGCTCCCCCGAAGGGAGACCCCTTTAGAAGGGGAGAACCTCCTGTGCAAACCTAAATGGGGGGGGGGGAGGTGGTATTTTTGCTGCAATACAAAGCATTACAACCACGGCATGTTTTTACCAATCAACTGCAAACTAGGCTTAATTTACAGTACCTAATACATCACTCCCACAGGCTCCCTCCAAGCTATGCAACTGCCCCCGCAGCCTCCTCTCTAAGGCACTCCAGCAATTGCAGGCACTCTGACGTCATCAAGTACAATGCAGGGCCAATTGGCCTGCATTGTACGCGAGGATGTCGAAACACTGCCAACAACCTGGAGTTTCAGGTAGAAGAGGAAAGCACCAGCTGCTGGGGAAAAGAGGGATGAGGAACCCTAGGCATCAACAAGCATTTACCCCTTGCTGTGGGGCTCACCCCAGATTTTTCTTTTCCCTGGGATTCCAGCTTTAGCCCAACACACATTAACGCAATGCACCAGAATGGACAGGTCTGGATGGGTCCTTAGTGAATGGCTCAGTGCCTACTACAACTGACCAGTAGGTACATTGGTTCATTGGCTTTCCTTGGTGGGCTTCCCCAAGAAGGGCATGTTTCAGATGAATCTAACCACCAACCACATACAAGTGCCACAACCGGTACACGCGGTCTTCTAATTACACACACGTCACCAGGAGGAGAGTGTGAAGCTTCTGTCACACACAGCCAAACACACCATTAGTGACACGTTACATACAAAAAAAATACGGTCCATGAGATGTCAGGGTCATGGGGCAGGCCATCGCTCTCTACAATTGCATGTCCCCTCCGGTGTAGAGCGTCGCTTGGTCAGCGGGAGCCTCTCGGCCTCACTTGAGGAGTCTCACAGTTACTCTTTCCCTGGGAGTCCTTCCCTTCTAGAAGATTTCTCCCCCCAGGTCACAAGTGCTTCTTTTCTTCAAGAGTTTTCGCTGTCTCTCTGCGCAAGTTCTCACAGTGTGCTTCCTGTGTGTCTCTGAATGTCGTAGTGCGTTATAACTGTCACAAGGATGTCCCATTTTCACGATTCTGGAAGGGAGAGGGGTCTCGGGAAGCAATAGGTCACCCAAGGGCTGTCTCCTTGCAGCAGGGCATCTGTATCTCATAGAGCAGCATTCTCTTTTTTGGCATGGCAGCCAATTGTTTGTAGCTTGTCTCACTCCAAAGTGCCATGGGGCAGGTCACATAGTGCATCAGGGTAGGTTGGGGCTCCCATCGGGGTGGGGGGAGTGGTTGTTTAGAGTTTGTCCTTTTAGTAAAAGCCTCTCTGAACTCCCCTGCTGCCAGTCTGCATATCTTGGGTGTTGGTTTTTGGTCACATGAAATATTTGCCCCTCGGCGAGGACCAGGGTCATATCTCAGGAGCTCTGAAGTCATCTTGCCTTGTCCAGTCAGATGCCTGCAAGCTGTGAGATGACCTCCGACCCCGGGACTTCACTACAGGGTTTTGTCAGTTTCTTTCTTCAGATGACTGGAAAACAACAGCACAAACGGGGGACGGTTCTTAATGTCTTATGGAGGACAGAATATTATCAAAAAAAGGCATGCAGACCTGACCAAGTAGATACAGTTCTATCCAAGTACATATTAGATTCTTTTTTTTATTATTTTGGATGATAGCGTTCCTTTCAATTTCAGATTTTCAGAGCAGAGAGGCTAAGAGAATTGCTGTTAGGTACATATGTTGGTAATTCATACAAAAAGTGTGGATAGTATTGTGTCTTGAGAGCAAGGATGTATTACCGACAAAGAGGGAATACTGGGAATTCTATAAATGATACATGAGGATTGCAATATAAAATATATATTATAAAATAAAATAGTATAAGATTATAGTATTTTCTCATTTAGATTTACCCTCCTATTCACAACTCTTATTCAGGTGTGTCCCATACAAGCATGGAGCCAGTGTCCCATACGAGCATGGAGTGTCCCATACAAGCATGGAGCCAGTGTCCCATACAAGCATGGAGTGTCCCATACAAGCATGGAGCCAGTGTCCCATAAAAGCATGGAGTGTCCCATACAAGCATGAAGCCAGTGTCCCATACGAGCATGGAGTGTCCCATACAAGCATGGAGCCAGTGTCCCATACGAGCATGGAGTGTCCCATACAAGTATGGAGCCAGTGTCCCATACGAGCATGGAGTGTCCCATACAAGCATGGAGCCAGTGTCCCATACAAGCATGGAGTGTCCCATACAAGCATGGAGCCAGTGTCCCATACAAGCATGGAGTATCCCATACAAGCATGGAGTGTCCCATACAAGCATGGAGTATCCCATACAAGCATGGAGTATCCCATACAAGCATGGAGTGTCCCATACAAGCATGCAGCCAGTGTCCCATACAAGCATAGAGTGTCCCATACAAGCATGGAGCCAGTGTCCCATACAAGCATGGAGTGTCACATACAAGCATGGAGCTAGTTTCCCACACAAGCATGGAGCCAGTGTCCCATACAAGCATGGAGTGTCCCATACAAGCATGGAGCCAGTGTCCCATACAAACATGGAGTGTCCCATACAATCATGCAGCCAGTGTACCATAAAAGCATAGAGTGTCCCATACAAGCATGGAGCCAGTGCCCCATACAAGCATGGAGTGTCCCATACAATCATGCAGCCAGTGTACCATAAAAGCATAGAGTGTCCCATACAAGTATGGAGTGTTCCATACAAGCATGGAACCGGTGTCCCATACAAGCATGGAGCTAGTGTCTCATACAAGTATGGAGTGTCCCATACAAGCATGGAGCTAGTGTCTCATACAAGTATGGAGTGTCCCATACAAGCATGGAAGCAGTGTCCCATACAAGCATGGAGCTAGTGTCTCATACAAGCATGGAGTGTCCCATACAAGCATGGAAGCAGTGTCCCATACAAGCATGGAGGTAGTGTCTCATACAAGCATGGAGTATCCCATACAAGCATGGAATCAGTGTCCCATACAAGTATGCGCCAGTGTTGCAAACAAGCATGATATGTCCCATACAAGTGTGGCTCCAGAGTCCTATCCACACATAGAGTTTCCCATACAAGCATGGAGCTAGTGTCCCATAAAAGCATGGTGTGTCCCATACAAACATGGAGCCAGCATCCTATTCCAGCATGGAGTTTCCCATACAAGCATGGAGGCAGTATCCTATACAAGCATTGGGTGTCCCATACAAGCATGGAGTCATTAAAAAGTAACAGGAGACAGAAATGCACCAAACTCTTTTGCAGACCCGGATATTGCCCTGTAAAGGTAGTAGCGACATCATCACTTTGCTATACATAGCCTGTGCAGAGAGCAGAGCTGTGGGAGGGGCCCAGAAGGCCTCACCCACTACAGAAAACTACAGGAGGGGGTGGAGACAAGACCAGTCACCCTGCACATAGAGAGAGCAGCAGTGACTGGTCTTTATTACAGGAAGCACAAAGAACACCAAGATTCAAGAAGAATACACATGACAATATTGGCTTATCCCAAAGTTGACCTTTAACTATGCACAGTGCAGCTCAGTGTAGCCTCAAAAATAGGATCTTCTATAGGCTTGGCCCCACCCACATAAAACCAGAATTAGAGAAAGTTGGCCCTGGTAAAATGACTGGAAGCAAGACTGTGAATCAGAAGCTGCTATAACAACAGACATCCATCGCTGCCTTATGTAGTACCTTTACCTTTTCCCGTCACTGTACCGCATATTTGCAGCGCGGGAGCGGGTGGGCCTTAATGGGGGTCCTAGGATCTGTGCGGAGAGCGTGCTCCCTGCACACTGACCAAGCTGTCACTGGCAGCTCTCTGTCTCCAGCCAGCAGGATAGGTTCCCAATCATGTGACTGCTGTGGGAGCCAATCACAGCAATCACATGATCGAGATGCTGGGAAGCAAGCTGATGTGAGCTGGCAGGAACGGTTTAAAGGTGAACTCCAGGCAAACAGCTAAATACACAGATAAAATATATATAAGGGAGCTGATTTACATGCCAAAGGACGTGCATTCGTGTCCATCCAGTCCTAAGATTTACACAGCTCTGTCACGCAGCACGGCCTTGTCTGGGAGGACAGGAGACCTGATTTTTCTGTGATGCAATTCAGTAACACTTACACGTCTTGTCCCTCCCAAAGCCTGTGATGGGACAGTGAAAGGAGAAGCAGCACGACAAAGAGCTCATTTCTCTGTCACTCTGCTCCCTTCACCTATCAGCATACTTAAACACTCCAGCACAACAAATTTGCTCCTTTTACTGCTTCTCTCTGCCCCAGTCTGAGCTTTGCTGCACAGGACTGATACTAGGTCAGATTCAGGTACTTACACTGCAATAGGTCTTGTCCCTCCTCCAGCCTGTGATTGGACAGTGAAAGGAGAAGCAGCAGACGGATAAGCTCATCTCGCTCTGCTCTCTCCTCCTGTCAGCATGTTTCTGCACAACTAATTCACTCCTTGTGCTGCTTATCTCTCCCCCAGTCTGAGCTCTGCTGCACAGGACTAATACCAAGTCAGATTCAGCTACTTGGATTAAAAAAAAACCCATTAATGATGTATTAATAATTACAGAACTTCATTAATTGTTGTATTTTATATTTGTTTGGAGTTCAGGTTTAAACCACTGTACTAGTTCTTGTGTGAACGGCATGGATGAGTGCATGGATGCCACAAAATTCAAATTTCCTGACAACTCCATGGCAGCATACATATAGGGGAAGAGGTAACCCATATGTATGCTTCTGTGGAGGATAGTCCGGAAAGGATTGTAATCCAAGTTTCCTATTTGGTGTAATACCTGCCCTTCTGGAAATGTAAGTAGTAAAGATATCTAAATAAATTCATGGACACACAGAGATCATATAGAGATTTGTTTGTTTTTTATTTCCTGGGATGACGAGGTGGAGCAGGACATTGAGTAGTTGCTTTGTACCTGTAGTAGTCTTCCTGCCCGGGGAGGGGCACTCCCTGCAGGGGATGATGGGTTTGCAGCCAGTGTTGTTGCTCCAGGGCCAGGCGTTGGAGCTCAGCGGACTGCGCGTGCATGGCCTGCAGCTGGTGAGCAGCGGAGAGCGGGGCGGACAGGGAGGAAGGGAGGTCTCTGTAAGGGGAGGCTGACAGAAAGAAGAGACCGTCAGTTCATCTCATAGTGGTACCACCAGAATGTCCAGATATTGCTGGGTGCTGTGGAGGTTCTGATCATCATGTCAAGCATTACAGAAGCGGCTTTTGGAGATGTGATAAATGAGGATCTGTTACTTTGCCCATTTCACCGCATCCTGAGAGGAAGGAAAGGCGGTCACATGTTTTCCCATACCATGCATCTCCAAAGGTTTTGGCAGAGAAAGGTGAGTGGCAGGAGATGAACCTTCACCCTCTATGGGCAAAGCAACAAATTCTCTTTAAACACATATAGGTAACATTTCACAAGGCACATAATAAATAATAGTCTCCAAAAAGTAAAGGGACTTTTGGGTAAGGTCTTCTATTAGCTGGCACTCCTGAGGGTGACCCCTCACTTTAAGTTACTTGTGGAACCACGATTTGGTCTTCAGAAGCAAAGAGAGGATGTCCCAATGCCACCTCCAAGCTATAGATAGGAGTTTACAAAGGGCTGAGGACTCTTTTTCATCCCTATGTGAATAGAAGAAACAGGGCACCAAATGATCACTATAAAAGTCCGTATGTCATTAATAAAAGCAGATCATGCAGAGCTCAATAGCTGGGGGTCAACGTTGATAGCAACACCATCACACAGCCATTGAGCTCTGCATGCTTCCAGGTCAAACAATCAGATATTTGTTTGTGAGATTTTGATACAGTCCATATCAGGAACCTCAGCAATCAAGCCTTGTTGAAGGGGAATTTTTGGCCCCCGTAACACGTTGGTTGGCTACTGTTGTGACATCATTGTCAAGAACAAAGGTTATATGGACTTTCGAAATGATCATTTGGTGCTCTGTTCCTTCTGTTCACGTAATCTTCTGCAGGACGATTACCCCACTTCGCATTTTCTGAGCAGCCTTGGTCCACTCAACAAGAACCATCATAAACTTGCATTCGAAGAAAGATGAGCATCAGGTCCAGCACCTCTGTTTTTTTATCTTGTTATTTCCATCCCCATGGAACAATCATCAAACACCAGTGTGAGGACCCCATGCTAGGCACACCCATGTGTGTTCACTCCACCTTGCCTAGGCTCAGCAGTCGCCCACCAAGCTACAATTTTCATGAAACTTTGTTCTTCAAAACACCACTGCAAAGGCTCTTCAGCTGACGCGTTTCTCCCTTAAGGGCTTTAAATACTTGCCACCTGTATGTTGTCATATCACCTCCTAGAGTTTCAGTGGTTATACCGAGGTTATACCGAGATGATGTCTGCACCTGCATCCCAGTTTCCAAATTTTCAGCCGGTGTTTCCCTTTACAGTAGCAGTGATTCGAGTGGCTATAGAGCCATTCGATCACTTCTACAGACTGTGGATGGAGGTGCCCCCCTCCCTCCTGCTGCCTTTTCCCATGCTCTCCCTTTCCCGCTCCTGTGGACTGAACAGAGAGAAAGGAACTGATGTTGTTCCTTCCGCTCTGTGAAATCAGAAACGGGAAGCGATGAGTCTAATAAACCCCAGATCTCTCCATAAAGAGGACCCGTCACAGCCCAAACTATCACAAGGAATGTTCATCCCTTTTCATAGCAATAAAGTTGATAAAAAAATTAAAGGGAAAATGTAAAAAAAAAGTTTTAACTAAAATAAATAATAAAATTTAGATTTTTTTTAAGCACCCCCATTCTCATGCGCAAATGTAAACACAGATGTAAGTCCTACATGCATATGTAAATGGTGATCGCACCACACATGTGAGGTATCTCCACAAAGGGCGGAGCCAGAGCAATAATTTTAGCGCTAGAACTGTGTAACTCTAAACTGATTACCTGTAAAGGCTTTTAAAGCATCGCTTATGTGGATTTTGCAGGTACCGTAGTTTGGCTCCATTCCACGGGAGTACGGAATTTTTAGCCAGGACATGTTTGGTATCTATTTACTCGGTGTAACATCATCTTTTATATTTAAAAAAAAAAATTAGTATTATATTGTGTTTGTGTGCATTAAATTCTTTAAAATGTATTTTTTCCCAGAATTTATATTTGAAAAATCAATGTGATGTAAAAAAAATTGCAACACCCACCATTTTAATCTCTAAGGCCTCTTCCTAAAAAATATATTTCTAAGTAATTTTTTAGCAGAATTTTTTTTTATTATTATTTTTACATGTAGGAGAGAAACATCAGCCCATGTGGCAAGTGGTTAATTGAAGAATCTATGATTTGGCTTTTAGGGGTGAAACGCGTCAGTGGAAGAACTTGTTTAGAACAATAACGTTTGGTGGAGATTGTAGCTTGGTGTACAGCTTTTGTTCTTCAGATTGGGAGAAATATGAGAGGAAGGGGAGGGAGTCATTTGCTTCGCAAACCCAGAAGGATCAGGTATGTTTTTTCGCTCCCCGCAACCATATGGAGCAGAGGCAGAGTTAAGGGAAGCATTGAGGACAGGGGCGGACTGACAACTCATGGGGCCCTTGGGCAATAGGGGATCATGGGGCCCCTGTGTCCTTGCCCACAATCAAAAAAGCCTATAAAAGGTACCAGGGGCATTTCATGGGGCCCCTACTGACCCCAGGCCCTCTGGCAGTGCCCGAGTGCTCGAATGGTCAGTCCTCCCCTGACTGAGGATCAGGCAGGTAGATAGGCATTACCTTAAATTAAGAATCTGGGGGGCTGCCATTGCTGACCTGCCAGTCTGTTATACGGATGACCTGGTCTCACTGTTTTCCGAATCTCTGACTCAAAGATGCTGATCATTAACTCTCAATTTTAAATGCTTTCCAGATGCATCAAAAGCTGTGCAAAGTCTTACAGTTAATTTCTTCAAAATCAGCCACAGCCTGCGCATAAAAACCTATCCCCACCAGCATGCTGAAGAGAAAGACCCTTGCTCTCTGTGCAGAAGCAGCAGTCCCTCTGCAGAGGTCCAACATACCCACTTCTGAGGAAATAAATTATAGCTGCATGTTCTACAAAAAGCTCATGCTCCCTGCTGAAAGGAGAGCTCTAGCTCCAACTTAGCGGTTGGCTTGCCAGACCTCTGCAGAGAGACCACTGCTTCTAACAGAAAGCAAGGGTCCTTCTCTGCAGCATGCTGGCAGGGAATAGAAAATGAATGGAAAGACTTTGCACCTACTTTTTTGATGCAACTGGAATGCATTTAACTGAACAAATTGTCGGCGCTATATAAAATTTCAAAAATAACTTTAAAGTCAGAACTGCTTCTCTGGATACCTGTTTCAGGTTAGTGATTGAAAGTACTGAAGCCTGAGGGTCAGCATTAGGAATGATCCTTTGTTCAGAACCAGATTCGGGTCTGAACCCTGGAGCCAACTGTCATTCTTGGTTCACTAAGTAGCTAGCAGGGGGGATTCCTCTGCCCTGCAACTGATGCTGCAAAGGATCGGGGATGCTCATGACATCATTGACCTAATATGGCCACATGAGCATGCTCAGTCAATGATATTGACCTCATGTGACCATGTGGCCATATTAGGTCATTGATATTACAAGAATCCCAGGACCTTTGTAGATTCAAGTGCTTGGAATGGAAGGGGATTGAGGTCCTCTGCTGGCTGCTCATTGGACCAGGATTGACAGCTGGCTTTTGGGTTCACACCCAAACCTGGTTCCGAACAAACACAAGGTTTCCCCTAGTCAGTGCAGAAGTAAAAACTATCTAAGGTGGCTTTCTTTTGTCTCTTTTAGGAAGATATCAGTAATGGCAACCTCCTTGCTTCTCTCTTGACAGGTTTCCTTTTAATATTGCCTTTCCAATATTCTTAGAAACCTTCATTACTGAAAAAAAAGAAAAGTCAGCTCCAATCTTCCTTAAAACGACTACGTCTACCCTGGGTCACTCTATGTGAAAGCATGCCTGTGGAAAGAGAAGGAATATACTTACCTTTCCCGGTGGCCCGCCACCTCTTAGCTGTTCCCCAGCTGATCAAAGTGTGAGGAATATCAGCTCCCCCCACTGTGCACAATGGTTTCTCCTGCTGGCTCCATACATTCATACAAGCCAGCAGAATCACAGCATGTGGCAGGGGGGACAGCTATTCGATCTATCTGACCAGTTACTGTTAGCAGCTGGGGAGCAGCATTTCAACAAACAGACCGCTGGAGAGGTAAGTACATGCTCCCTCTCTCTCAATGGGTATCTTATGTTTAAAGCAGGGGTCTCCAAACTTTTCAAACAAAGGGACAGTTTATTGTCATTCAGGCATTAGGGGGCCCGGAGTGTGCCCAGTGGGAGTAAACAATTCCCCATCTTTGGTCTTAGGGGGAGAAATAGTTGGTGTCAGTGGGAGAAATAGATCCCCAATCATTGGTTTAAGTGTGAGGAACAATGTCCCATTGTTTGTGTAAGTGGAAGGAAGTTTGCCCCATCATTGGTGTCAGTGGAAGGAATAGTGCCCCATCATTGTTCTCAGTGGAAGGAATTTTGCCCCATCATTGGTGTCAATGGGAAGAATCGTGTCCCATCATTGTTGTCAGTGGAAGGAATTTTGCCCATCATTGTTGTCAGTGGGAGAAATAGTGTCCCATCATTGGTGTCAGAGGGTGGAAATAGTGTCCCATCATTGGTGTCAGAGGGTGGAATAGTGTCCTATTGTTGTGAGTGGAAGGAATTTTGCCCCATTGTTGGTGTGAGTGGAAGGAATAGTGTCCCATTGTTGGTGTCAGAGTGAGGAATAGTGCCACATCGTTGGTGTCAGTGGGAGGAATAGTGTCCCCTCATAGTTGTCAGTGGAAGGAATTTTGCCCCATCACTGGTGTCAGTGGGAGAAATAGTGTCCCATCATTGGTGGCAGAGGGAGGAATAGTGTCCCATTGTTGTTGTGAGTGGAAGGAATTTCGCCCCATTGTTGGTGTCAGTGGGAGGAATAATGTTTCATTGTTGGTGTCAGTGGGAGGAATAGTGTCCAATCATTGGTGTCAGTAAAAGGAATTTTGCCCAATTATTGGTGTCAGTGGGAGAATAGTATCCCATCATTAGTGTTAGTGAGAGGAATAGTGCCCCATCACTTATGTCAATAGAAGGAATTTTGTCCAATTGTTGGTGTCAGTGGGGGAACAGTATCCCTTCATTGGTGTCAGAGAGAGGAATAGTGTCCCATCGTTGGTGTCAGTGGAAGAAATGTTGCCCCATCGTTGGTGTCAATGGGAGGAATAGTGCCCCATCATTGGTGTCAGTGGGAGGAATAGCGCCCCATCATTGGTTTCACTGGGAGGAATGTGTCTTATTGTTGGTATCAGTGGGAGGAATAGTGCCGCATTGTTGGTGTCAGTAGGAGGAATGTGTCCTATTGTTGGTGTGTCAGTGGGAGGAATAGTGCCCCATTGTTGGTGTCAGAGGGAGGAATAATGTCCCATCATTGGTGTCAGTGGGAGGAATAGTGCCCCATTGTTGGTGTCAGAGGGAGGAATAATGTCCCATTGTTGGTATCAGTGGGAGGAATAGTGCCTCATTGTTGGTGTCAGTGGCAAAAATAATGCCTTAAGGGTCGGATAAAGGCAAGCAAAGGGCCAGTTTGGAGACCCCTGGTATAAAGTGACCCCATGCTGACACTTTAACCTCTTTAGATGTGGCACCTCGACTGCTCCAAACCTGTAGATATGCCTTTTACCTCCTACCATCACTCACCGAATATCTGCTGCCGGAGGACATCACTGTCATGCAAGGGGTGGGGGATCAGCGGGTTGGGCAGAGCGGCTGCCGGATACGGGATCCGTGTGAGGTGGGACCCTGACGTGAGCGGATCCATTAGTGGATGAACGGCGGCAGAAGCTAAAAGACAGACAAGAAGAGTGTGAGGGGAAGCCGCACGGCATCCTTTCTGAGCACACCGCTAGCATGGACCTTTCAGTAACTTTACAGATCTGCATGAATACATCCATGACATAATATAAAGCAGCAGTATCATTTTCCAAAAAAGCTCCACCCTTTATCATAAACGCGGTCCTTGAGCTCCAGTCTAGTGACTCTGCCTTAGCTGAGATGATGCGATCTGTCTGCTGCAGGCAGGAGGTAACATTTCCTCAGTCTCCCCTCCCTCCAGTAATCGAACTATAACACTGTAATTTTGTAACAATTCCTGAACAAAGATGGCACCCTACTTCTGGAGAGGTAGGCATTGTCAGGAGGAGTGCTGTGATGTCTGCGAGAGGTAATGCCTGGAAGAATTAGGCTCATTCACACAGGCATAGAAATGTACACAGGATTTTGCTGCATATTTTACAGGAGCAAAAAAGGGTAGAGAGGGGGCGCCAATTAAATGCAACGATAGAGAAATATTATTGAGGAAAACAATGCTGCACTTAGTTAGCACCCCCCTCTCTACCTTTTTTTTTGCCATTTCAGAGATTGCTTCTGGGGAGCAGACATTCTCTATATGATCTTTACCAGGACTACTTAACAATTATTTGCCCTTTATGTATTTTAATTGGACGGTTTCACAACTACTTGTCTCCCATATGGTTTCTTGGACATTTTATCATTGTGTTCCTTTTTTTTTTATTAAGAGCAGGCTGAGGGGTCATTATTCTTTATCCACCATTTATTATTTTTATAATATTTTACAGGAGTATCTTTTCACGAGATGTGGGCTTTCCCAGAATCTGGGTGGAATGACATCATCATCGTCTAGCCAGTGGTTCTCAGTCTTATTGAGACCAGCATTCAAAAAATTCATCCAAAACCTCCCTTTCCCCAACAGTAAAAACAGTATGTATTGAAATGCTGGAAAGGTCTGGATGGGGCTGGGTCTCACTTTCAGAGGATGAGGCTTTTGGAGGGGGTTAGGGGACTTTTTTAGCAGACTCAGTGCTCTTGTAAGGGATGAGGTTTCTGGAGGGAGCCAGGGGTCTCTGCAGGAGGCTGGTGGCTTTGCAGGGTCACTATGGAAGAATGTTGGAGGTTGGGGGCACTATGGGGAGATGAAGGCTATAGAGCAGCTAGAGGGCACTGCAGGGGGCTGGATTTCACTCTGGAAGGCTGGGGGGCACTGTGGGGGCTGAGGGGTCTCAGGGGGCCTGAGGGCACCTTGGGAGGTTGAGGTGCACTGCAGGCCACTATAGGAGGTTCTATGGGAGGTTGAGTACCACTGGTCTAGGCAGTGTGGGTAAAAGCCATGGTGTAGGGATAGTGTATTTTTTGCCATTATTGTCTAATCAACAACATTAACAATAGTTGACGCTTTTTAGGTGCCAATAATAAACAGATAATATCTATAAAAAATAAATATCTTTTTCTTTTTTTTTTTGCTTCTTCAGAAGACGAAGAATAATATATGTGGCAGTATCAACCCCCCAAAAAGACAAAGCTAGCACCCAACACCACAGAAAGAGGCAGTGTGGGGTGCTAGCTTGGTCGTAGCTCTTGTGTGCCTTTTTTTTTATTGGACACCACCATTTATATATTATCCTTTGTCTTCTTAGGAACCAAGGGAAATGCATCAGCCTCTACTCCCTCCCACCACTGCAGTTTAAACATACAGTATCAGAGTCTGTAACAATCCTTTCCATATTGATATTTGTGTAAGGAGAATGGGGATATGGGAGATATGCAAATTATATACTGCATGTACTAATGTCAATCCAAAGTATTAACTGTACAAATATTTGAAAGATTTACATTTTTTAAAAACATGATCTGTATGTTCTTGGCACCCAAAAAGTCTCAACTTTTGTAAATGCTGTTGATTAAACATCAGTAGAAAAGGCAAAAATGTATTATCCCACCAACACGGCTTTTGGCCTCACTGCCCAGATCAGTGGTTTTCAACCACTGAGCTAGGCCACTGCTTCCCTCTTCTTAGGCCTTAAGCCAGCTGCAGATCTCCTAACCTCCCATAGTGCCTCCCAACCTCCCCTATTGGCCTGCAGTGCCCCTCAACCTCCCAATGTGCCCAGAGGTGTATTTACCACAAGGCAAACAAGGCATTTGCCTAGGGCAGCATTTTTCAGGGGGGGGGGGGACAGCACTGCCCCTTGGAAGAAGGGACGAAGGAAGGGACACACGCGGCATGGGGACCTGGTGGGTTCTGAGAGATGCTGTGGGTGTCATGACGGCGTATGCACAGCCGACTCTCGTTCCTGAGAATGTCCAGAGCTGTGAAGGTGAGTGTCTTTCTCTCTGTTGCCATGGGGGATGGTGGCTGGTGTATGGGGGGCAGTGGTAGTGGAAGGTTTGGGTGGAGGGCAGGGGTACTTTTAGTCAATGTCAGGCTCTTTCTGCCTAGGGCAGCACAAAACCTAAATACACCACTGAATGTGCCCCCAGGCCCCCTGAGAGCCCTCAGTCCCCTGCAGTGTCCTCTAGCTTGCTGCAGAGCCTCCAGCTCCCCACAGCACCTTCAACAGTGTTCTGCAGTACCCTCCAGTCTTCCACAGTGCCCCTAAAATGCACCCAGGCTCCTGGAGAGACCCCAGCCCTCTCCAGAGATTTCACCCTCCATAAGGCCCAACCCTAAGCCTTGGCTTTTGTCTAGACCAGTGGTTCGCAACCATTGGACCGGGGCCACTGCCTTCCTCTTCCTGGGCCTCCAGTCAGCTGCAGATCCTCTAACCTCCAAACCTCCCATAATGGCCTGCAGTGCCATTTAACCTCCCACAGTGCCCCAAGGTCCCCTGAGAGTCCTCACCTTACTGCAATATCCCCTAACTTTCTGCAGAGCTTCCAGATCCCCATAGTGCCCCCAACCTCTAACAGTATCCTGGAGTGCCCTCCAGTCTTTCACAGTGCAGCTGCAAAGCCCGCAGCATACTGGAGAGACCCCAATCCCCTTCCAGAGATCCCACTGCACACAACAGCTCCCAGTTCCCTTTAGATACCTCATCTCCTATAGAACCACCCAGTCCCCTAAACCCCTCCATAAGTCCCAACCCTACACCCTGGGTTTTGTCTAGACCAGTGGTTCTCAACCTCTAGGTTAGGTTATAGGCGCCCTCTTCTTGGGCCTCAAGTCAACTCCAGATCCCCTAACCTCCGACAGTGCCTTCCAAACCCCCATAATGGCCTGCAGTGCCCCTCAACCTACCAAACTGCCCCCCTCCCGCCCAACCTCTCACAGTGCCACTCACTTTATTTTATTGTCATCTAAAAAGTCCCATATTAACTTTTACAATTGACTACTTACTGGGGATGTAGTGGGCATGTGGTACCAAGACCCATCAATCAGTAAAACCATCTATTTTTTTTATTAATATTTGAGAATTTTTTCACCCAAGATGAAGGTAATTTTGCATTTTGATGCAAGGTTTGCTTAAGGAATATTTTTCATTTCTTCACCTACTAACCAAAAAATGAGCAGTAAACCCCTTATTTTGTTGTATTTATTATGGAAGCAAGACAAGCGGATACCTTCTGGTTTAAGAAGGCTTTACTGATTTAAGGAGAGCTTTTCATTTCCATCAGTCATTCAATCATTTTTATGTTTTCCAACGTGTAAAGTCGAACTTCCATCAAGCACGTACCTGCGTGGATGGCGTCCTGCTGGTGCAGGTGGAGGTGTGAGTGAATGTGTGAGTGCTGATGATGGTGCGGGGTCACGTTCAGCATCTGAAGCCTGGTCAGGGGATCTCCGCTCAATGCCGCCACTCTTTCGGCGTGCTGCCGTTCTGCGGCAAGGCGCTCGGCGTAGGACAGTTCCCCTCGGGCTGCTACTGCTGCCCCAGCCCCTCCTGGTCCAGCCCCGGGCCCTGCACCGGCGGCCCCCAATGCCAGCCTTTCCCTTTCGAGGGCATGTGGGTGCGAGTGTTGCCCATGGTGGTAGGGGAAGGCCGGGTGCAGTCCCATCTGAGGAGGTACTCCGGCAGCTGAGGGCGGTGGTTGAGGAGGAGGGGGGTGATGCGGTGGAGGCGGTGGAAGAGGCAGGGTCGCTGGGTGAAGCGGGTCCAGCTCTCCAGGCTTTACTTCATATCCAGGCTTCAGCCTTTCTCGCAGCTCCCGTTCTGCCCGAGTTGGGTCACTGGCAAAGACGGCAGGCAGGTTGTAGGCAAGCAAGGGGTCTCCGAGGGGTAGGTAAAAAGGGTGATGTGGGGGGTGACCGGGCTGGGGTGCTCGTCCAGCTGGTGAGAGTACATGAGGGCGAGCGTATTCACTCAGTGTACGAAGAGCCGGGGTGTCAGGACCCAAGTAGGGGGGCACGGCTGCCACGGCTCCTGGCGGCTCAAAGTGAGGAGGGCGTGAGGGGGCAGAGGACGGGGAGGGCAAAGCTAAGGAAGGGTGATGGGGAGGCGGCTGCGCGCACAGCTGGGGGCAGTCATGAGGACGAGAGTCCAGTTTCTGAAAAAGACATAAAAATATTTAAATCATGTTTATTTTCTGAATGAAGACCCGAGTGAAATATTGACTCCAAGAAGCAAGTACAATCAGCAGGTGACCCAAAAAAAAACTACAAAAGAATGGAGCTGAGCAAGTCAGAAAGGCCAGATTACTTTCCTTTCACTTTTATATATTTACCCTGAATTCAGATTCAGCAGGCTTTCCGCTGTGTTCCTGGTTGGCGCTGCAGACTGTTATCATGGGAAGCTATGCTGTGCAACCTCCCTCCCATGCTCCACTGTGCAAAGGCAATATTTTCTGATCAGCTCTGAGTTTCAGCTCCTGATATGGGGCAGCATATTGGCTAAATGGTTAGTACTACCTGGCAGTACTCGGGTCGTTGGTTCAAATCCCAGCCATGGCACCCCCTGCCTGGAGTTTGCATGTTCTCCCTGTGCCTGTGTGGGTTTCCTCCGGGTACTCCGGTTTCCTCCCACACTCCAAAGAAATGCTGGCAGGTTATATGGATCCTGTCTAAATTGTCCCTAGTATGTGTATGTATGAATGTGAGTTATGGACCTTAGATTGTACACCCCTCGGGGGCGGGAACTGATGTGAACGTACAATATATATATAAAGCGCTGCATAAATTGATGGTGCTATAAAAGTACCTGAAATAAAAAAAATCTGAACATTTTTGTAACCTTCTTAAATACTTAAGCTGTCCAACAAGCCCTCATATAGCATGACACTACGGTGTCTATTTATAAAACATTCGATGGAGGAATGACATACATATTGTGAATACGGTACAAATTCTGTGTGTAATTTTTCTAATGATTCTAATCATCCCTATGAGCAGTAGCTCCATCTAGTGGCCAAAATATGGTATAGTTGTCTTAAATAACCCATTAAGAAAATATACTGAATTTTGCCACTAGATGGCGCTAAAGGTCATAGGGATTACTCTATTAGAGAGATTACAGTCAGAATTCGTACAGTATGCGCAAATGTATTTGACAGTCATCCAATGAGTGTTTTATAAATAGACCCCACCTCAGGTGCAGATAGGAGAGACTACACACAAGACAGTGTCAAATGCCCCAGCTTTGTCCCTAATTTATCACTTATAAACAAATAATAATTAAAAAAAATAATAATCTTATAAAAGGACATTAAAAAATCAAACAGGTGATTTACTGGAGGTTATTTACCAAAACCGGGGAGCGTAAAATCTAGGGCAACTCTGCATAGTAGCCAATCAGCTTCCAGGTATTATTTGTAAAGCTTAATTGAACAAGCTGAAGTTAGAAGCTGATTGGCTACCATGCACATCTGCACCAGAGTGCTCCAGTTTAACCACTCCCCGGCCAGATGGTGGCAGTGCAGGGGCGGGCTGCCGTTCATAAACAGCGCACGCCATTTTGGACTGTGCGCGCTCCCTGGGAGTGCGGCACCACGATCCGGTGCCCGCTGTGTCGGGAGGAGAACACTGATCGCTGTACGGGACCTCTATGTGAGGTCCGGATGAATAGGTGTAAGCAAGATGTCACTTCTGACATCATTGCTTACTACGTATGAAATCATGTGAATGGTACAAGGCTATTCACTACAGCCTTGTAACATGTGACAAGCTGTGACCAATCACAGCTCGTACAGTAATTCTCAATGGCTGCAAGAATGCAGCCAGAGAGAAGGAGAAATTATTGCTTTTACAGCCTTTATAGGTGTAAAAGCAATCAGTGTAAAAAAAAAAAAAACCTTCATCACAAGTAGTACAGTGTCACTATGGTGACACTGTACTGCTAGGGTGACAGTATGTTTAAAAAAAACATAAATAATATAAAAAAAAATAAAATAAAAATGTAAACATTTTTTTAAAAAATTATAATTTTTGGTCATAAACTAATTTGGGTTATTTTTTTTACTAAAAAGATAACTGAATATATTTTGGCCAAGATTTATGAAGAAATATTAATTATTTGCAAAATTTTATAAGAAAAATTTTTTTTTTTCAAAATTTTTGGACTTTTTCATTTATATAGCAAAAAAAAATAAAAACCCAGTGGTGAATTAATACCACCAAAATAAAGTGTTATCTGTCTCAAAAAAATGCTAAAAAATTCATATGGGTACAGTGTTGCATGACCGCGTAATTGTCATTCAAAGTGTGATAGCGCTGAAAGCTGAAAAATGGCCTGGGCAGGAAGGAGGTGAAAGTGTCCAGACATGAAGTGGTTTAGTAAATCTCCTGCTATGTGAAAATGGGATATAAAGAGTCACTTACAATATTCCTCTCCATCTCCCGTTCCCGCTCCCTCTCCCGCTCTCGTTCGCGCTCTTCGCGTGCCCTCTGCTCGCTCTCCCTCCGCGCACGCTCAATCTGCTCCGACCTCTTCTTAGAAAGTTTGGAGCCATCCAGGGGCACGAAGTATAGATCTGTCCGGCAGCAGGAATTGTATCCACGGTCCAGGTGTTTGTTAAACCTACAGACAAAAGCAGCAAATTGACGAAATTGTTGTTATTAATGTAACAACAGAAAAGAAAAAAAGATGGATCTTGATTACATTTGTAGGATTGATATACAGTAAAGGATTGCTACACTTTGAAAAGTAATAAAGGGCGTCTATTTTATTTATTTCTTACAGGTATTTATACAGTGCTGGCAATTTATGCAGCACTATACATATTGCAAATTCACACCAATCTCTGCCCTCAGAGCCCATTTACACTATAAATTCAATTTAAAGTGGAACTTCTCTTAATCAACATGGACTATTTGTAATCCTTATGCTGCTTTCATTAGTAAATAGGAACTTATCATATTTACTTGTTTTAAACTTTTTTTTACATTTCTTCAGTTACTTCCTGGTTTCTATGCCTAGGCAAATTACATCATACATCCCAGCAATCTTCAGGAGAGGAGGAAGGGTTCTCAGCTCAGCATATGCCTGAGCTAAGGGTAGATGGATTGCAGGAAGTAAATGATATATGAATCATCTGCCCTTACTCAAGATGGCCACTGCCAGGGAGTGTTTTTCAAAATTATTTTTCAGTGAAGTAAAGCATGGAGACATGGAGACATGGACGGATGGGGGGAGTTTGATTTGAATATTAATAATGAATTAAATATGTATTTTTGGTTTGTGGTGCTCAGATGCAGTGCAGTTCCACTTTAAACTCTTGAGTCCCCAGGAAGGTTTTTTTTCTCCCTAAACCCCCTAGACCAAAAGGGCTTTAATGTGGTAGCAAATCTGGATACATATTTTTTATTTTTTATTTTTTAATTGGGAATAAATAGTAAAAAATTAGAAATTAAAGCATTTTTCTTTCCTTTTTCTTAACGCAACGTTTCCGTGATTTGTGTACCGCCATATATTTAATGCAAAATATATTCAACAAAGTCTGCTGATTACATTTACATTTTAGTGTGATTTTTATATATCATAGCAAAACTGTAAAGTTAAAAGTGAACGTATGCGTTTTGCTTCAAGGAGAGATATATTTCTGTTTTGCTGCTACATTGCGAAGTATCCAGAAAAAAAAAGATTTGCATCATTTGTTAGCGTAACATTAAGATAAGCTCAAGATGAGAGCACACATTAGCATGATGGTAATTTTTTCACAGTATTGAGAGTGCTAAAAATTCTAATGACGTTGCACTTACGTCAGCATTTTAATTCTTGGGAAGTGAACGCAATTGTAACTCATAGATCATTGTTGGGACCTGGGGCAACATCATCCAAGAGCATTGTTGGGACCTGGGGCTTAATATGGGGTGGGAATATTTTTTTTTGCTTTATACATATACTGTATATATTATATAATATTATTCTGTACTAAAATAAAATATTTTTATTGCGTTAGTGGTGCGCTTCCCTGTCTTTTCCTTTTGTGTTAATATGGAGTGGGAAACTTTTTTATATTTTTTACTATATATATATATATATATATATATATATATATGTACAGTATATTGTATCTATCTATTTATGTTTTTATTTTTTATTACTTTATTTCTTTATTTTTTCATGAGCAGTCCACATCTGGTCAGTGAAGACCAGCTCTGAACCCCCCCGTATGCAGTTGTGCAGCAGCAGGTCACATCTAGTGGTAATCTATTGTTGGCTGCAATCAGCCTGCAATAGATCATTATAGCCGTGATCTATTGCTGGCTGCAAGTTACCTGCAATAGGTCACTATTGCATTGATCTATTGCTGCAGGGAAAAGAGGATCAGAGATAGAGACAGGTCTGCTTTAGTCTCCATACTGAATGGGAGTCACCTAATGTAATTTGTGATGTCACTACACTCCCGACAGAAACAGAAAGCAGAAGTATTGCATATACTTTAATATTTTTGTATGTTCCTATGGAGCAATCTGTAAAGGCATTGAAAGAGCAGGATCCGACAGACAGCTAGTCACAGACAGCTGATGATTCCAGCCTTAAACCCACAGGAGTCCGACTGCCGTTTTGAAACAGCACTGGAATGCACAACTGCTAGTATACAGTGCCTTGAAAAAGTATTCATACCCCTTGAAACTTTCCACATTTTATCATGTTACAACAAAAAAATATAAATGTATTTTATTGGGATTTGATGTGATAGACCAACACAGAGTGGTACATAATTGTGAAGTGGAAGGAAAATGAGAAATGGTTTTCAAATGTTTTACTAATAAATATCTGAAAAGTGTGGTGTGCATTTGTATTCGGCCCCACGGAGTCAATACTTTGTAGAACCACCTTTTGCTGCAATTCCAGCTGCAAGTCTTTTTGGGGATGTCTCTACCAGCTTTGCACATCTAGAGAGGGACATTTCTGCCCGTTCTTCTTTGCAGAATCGCTCAAGCTCTGTCAGATTGGATGGAGAGCGTCTGTGAACAGCAATTATCAAGTCTGGCCACAGAGATACTCCATTGGATTTAGGTCTGGACTGTGACTGGGCCATTCTAACACATGAATATGCTTTGATCTAAATCATTCCATTGTAACTCTGGCTGGATGTTTCGGGTCGTTGTCCTGCTGGAAGGTGAACTTACGCCCCGGTCCCAAGTCTTTTGCAGACTCTAACAGGTTTTGTTCTAAGATTGCCTTGTAATTGGCTCCATCCATCTTCCTATCAACTCTGACCAGCTTCCCTATCTCTGTTGAAGAAAAGCATCCCCACAACATGATGCTGCCACCACCATGTTTCACAGTCGGGATAGTGTGTTCAGGATGATGTGCAGTGTTAGTTTTTTGCATTTTGCTTTTAGGCCAAAAAGTAAAATTTTGGTCTCCTGTGACCAGAGCCCCTTCTTCCATGTTTGCTGTGTCCCCCACATGGCTTCTTGCAAATTGCAAACTGGACTTCTTATGGCTTTCTTTCAACAATGGCTTTCTTCTTGTCACTCTTCCATAAAGTTCAGATTTGTGGAGTGCACGACTAATAGTTGTCCTGTGAACAGATTCTCCCACCTGAGATGTGGATTTCTGCAGCTCCTCCAGAGTTCCCATGGGCCTCTTGGCTGCTTCTCTGATGAATGCTCTCCTTGCCCGGCCTGTCAATTTAGGTGGACGGCCATGTCTTGGTAGGTTTGCAGTTGTGCCATACTCTTTCCATTTTGGGATGATGGATTGAACAGTGCTCCGTGAGATGTTCAAAGCTTGGGATATTTTTTTTTATAACCTAATCCTGCTTTCAACTTCTGCACAACTTTATCTCTGACCTGCCTGGTGTGTTCCTTGGCCTTCATGTTGCTGCTTGTTCACTAATGTTCTCTAACAAACTTCTGAGGGCTTTACAGAACAGCTGTATTTAGGTGAACTCTATTTACTAATTAGGTGACTTCTGAAGGCAATTGGTTCCACTAGATTTTAGTTAGGGGTATCAGAGTAAAGGGGGCTGAATACAAATGCATGCCAAACTTTTCACATATTTATTTGTAAAAAATTTGAAAACCATTTATCATTTTCTTTCCACTTTAAATTGTGTGCCTCTTTGTGTTGGTCTATCACATAAAATCCCCCCAAAAATAGATTTAAGTTTGTGGTTGTAACATGACAAAATGTGGAACTTTTCAAGGGGTATGAATACTTTTTCAAGGCACTGTAAGTGTATAAATTTGTCTTTATATTAGCCACTTGCAAATCTATGCGCCACAGCACTGGGGATGAAAGGAGGTGGGAGAAAAAAGGTAATTAGATCACTGTGAGGAATCGTATTCTCCCGCATTGTCCAATCAGCAGGCTTGTGCTGGGCTGGTACCCAAACTGCACTGTATAATTGCAGAACAGAAAAATGAAGTTACCAACCTAGTAATGCCTGGCAGTGGTGGAGTCAATTACATGACAAATGCACAGAATTACAAATCTTTTTGCAGGCAAAACATTTCACATATACAGTATGTACAGAATCTGTTTTTAGTTTCCTATTAATTGGGCAAAATTTGCAGTAAGGATGCAAAATATTTAATACACAGCAAGAAGACAACAAATATAACTCCTGATGCTCTGAATTACCTGGCAGACTGGCTGGCATGACTTGGCGTGTCCACAAGTTTGGGTGGAGGCGAAGGACTGCTGGGAGGTGGAACTGGGCTATCGCCCTCTGCTTCACATTCCTCGGGTGGCTCCTGTTTTATCTGCACGGGAGCTGGTGCTGGTGGGGGTGGAGCAGGAGGTGGAGGTGGAGGCGGAGCTGGAACTGGAGCTGGAGCTGGAGCTGGAGCTGGAGGAGCAGTGACAGAAGCGGGAGGTGAAGAGTCTTTATAGCTCTGGGTGGGAGCTGGAGGAGGAGTGGAAACTGGAAATGATCCAGGTTTATAGGGGGGTGGGGGTGCGGGTGCATTTTTATAGGGTGGAGCCGGATGAGGGGGAGCCCCTTTGTAGCCTTGGTATGGGTAGTTACCATACCCTTGAGAATTAGGAGGGTAATGGCAGACAGAAGCAGATGAGTGAGGCTGATAAAGGGAATGATTAGACTGAGGATTTGGGGGCTCTGCTTGAGAGGAGTAGCCTACATTTCCACTCGCAGTGGAGGGCTGGGATGAAAGATGCGAGGTATTGCTGGGCGCTGGTGATTGGCCTCCACTAGGCCCTGTCACGGGTGTTTGCATCTGAGTGCTGTTCTGATGGTGTGAGCTGGGGGACAGAAGAACATGAGGTGTGTGATGGCTAGGTTGAGGCACACCCCCTGGTGGCTGGTTACTTTTTGTGGTGTTGGGGAGCGCCCCCTGTTTGGTAGAATGTGAGGATGATGAGAGTTATTCATATTATGATTAGGAGGTTGACCTTGTCCACCAGTTGCCCCTCCATGAGGGTGCAAAACACTACTCTGGGATGCTGGAGTCTGAATAGCCCCCGTTGTAGGCATTGGGTGTGGAGGGTGGTTATTATGGGGAGAGGGAGCACGAGTACTTCCATGATGAGAGTTACTAAATCCCCCACTAACATTTTGTCCCCCACCCACTTGTCCATTTTGGGGTGGAGGCTGAGGGTAGCGGGGAGCTCCTTCAATCCTTCCATAATTGAGTCCACTTTGTCCCCAAGAAGGATGGGGACCCGGGCTGCGGTTGTCCATACTTTCCCTGCGTGGGGTACTGATGGGGGTATCCAGGTGGGTATTGTCCTGGGTAAGGGGGATATCGAAGTGTACAAGAAGACGAAGGAACAGGCTGGCCCGGTTTCTCTGTTGTTTGGGATGGAAGTCCTGGAGAAGCATTGAGAGGCCTTAGGGCAGGGGGTGGTGGAAGGTTGTGAGATACATGGGGATAAGAGGTTGTGGTAGAAGTGCTGGAAGGTAGGGTAGTAGGAGTTGTTGGAGAAGCCAATGGTCTTGGAGAACCAAGTCCCACTATAGGTGTGGTGGGTGGAGGTTTGGCTTGAGAGGTTGGTGTAGGCCCAGCTTTGACCATCCCACCAGGGCTAGGATATAGCTGTGGAAGTTGAGGAGCCTGGTACGGTCTTGAATTCTGAGGTTCAGTCTGCAGAGTGGGTTGAGAAGCCTGGGAGGGGGGTGGAAGAACAGGGGGATCAGGAACCGGTGAAGCAGGAGGTTGGGGTGACCCAGGACCCCTGTACAGGGAAGGAAACGATTTTGGCGAAGGAATGGAAGATGCATCACTCTCACTATCCCCACTATGCAGGCTTGGAGATGTGCTACGGTTGTCCTGGTCAATGTCCCTTGGGTCACTTCCACCATCTTCATTACCACTCTGTCCATCCAAACTTTCTTCTTCAGGGGGCGGACGGGGAACCTCTGGAGACTGCAGAGAAATAAAATATTCATTAAACATCATTAAGAAGTTAAATAGAAGAGACTGAAGTCAAGTGATCACCTCACATCTTGAAATGGTTTTATTTTCATCCACCCCAGATTGCTCATATAGAATTTTTTGCTTTGAGCAACAGTGGGCCAATGTGATTTTTTTTTTAGATAGAGTAAGGTCATAACCCCTGTTAAGTTTTATTACAATCTTTGTCCCAACTGAAGAGATTAACTCTCTCATCCTAAGGACTATTGTCATTGGTACTGAAAGTGAGGGAAAAACTGAAATCTTGAGTTCAACAAAATGGTGGCCGTCTGCACACAGACATCGACTCCCTGTTGCATAAACGTAAATGAAATGGGTAAAAGATGTCTTCAGCTACTGTTCTCCACCTGTAGAGAACTCCTTACATGCATTCTGTCCTTTTTGAGGCTTAATTGTAGAGACCACTACAATTAAGCCCCAAAACGAATGAAATGCATCTGAGGAGTTCTCTACAGGAACTGAACAACAGAGAATCGGTGTCTGCTTGGAGATGGTTGCCATTTTGTTGGAAGTCTACTGGACCCTGATAAGATGGTCCTGGCTGTCTTGCATCAGTTTTATCCACATGTTGTTTTGGCTGATATAGGTTTGGGGGGCATTTAAGCGGTACTAGTTTCATTGTTTTCACATTCTGAGTTGTCACTGTAACAGGAACAGAGAGGATATCTTACAACAGGAACACTTGTTATGGTGACAACCAAGAGAGTATTTCTCTTACTTTGGAGAAAATCTCTAGCTCAGGGTGCATTAACGTGAACAGCAAGCTGTAGATATAAGAATAAATAGAAGCATAAGGAATGTGCTGTGATTAGAATATTTAAAATCCCTGGGCTGCCCTATATAACAAAATTATTTTCAGTAATAATTAGGAAATAAGACAAAAAATAAAATGTTCAAAAAAAGAAAACCAGGGTACGCTGATGGTCATTGAAATGCTCCCTCTGATTTATGGTCAGTGGAGAAGGACCAGCTTGCATCTGTGGTCAAAGACATAACTCATACTGGTGGTCATTGGAAGAAGGGCCACATTACAATGGTGGTCATTGGAAGAAGGGCTTTGTTACACTGGTGTTCATTGGAAGAAGGGTGCCATTACAATGCTTGTCATTGGAAGAAGGGCTTCATTACACTGGTGGTCACTGGAAGAAGGGTTCCTTATGTTTATTGATTGCAAGATATTTAATAAAGAAAGATTGGAAGAAGGGTGCCATTACAATGGTGGTCAGTGGAAGAAGGGTCTCGTTACACTGGTGGTCATTGGAAGTAGGGCTCCAATAAACTGGTGGTCATTGGAAGAAGAGCTCCATTAAACTGGTGGTCATTGGAAGAAGGGCTACATTACACTGGTAATCATTGGAAGAAGGGTGACATTTCAATGGTTGTCATTGGAAGAAGGGCCTCATTACACTGGTGATCATTGGAAGAAGGGTTCCATTAAACTGCTGCTCATTGGAAAAAGGGCTTCATTACACTGGTGGTCATTGGAAGAAGGGCCTCATTACACTGGTGGTCATTGGAAGATGGTTGCCATTACAATGGGTGTCACTGAAAGAAGGTTTCATTGTACTGGTGGTCATTAGAAGAAGGGTGCCATTACATTGGTTGTCATTGGAAGAAGAGCTCCATTAAACTGGTGGTCATTGGAAGAAGGCTACATTACACTGGTAATCATTGGAAGAAGGGTGACATTTCAATGGTTGTCATTGGAACAAGGGCCTTATTACACTGGTGATCATTGGAAGAAGGGTTCCATTAAACTGCTGCTCATTGGAAGAAGGGCTTCATTACACTGGTGGTCATTGGAAGAAGGGACAGATGATGATTGCCATTACAAAGGGTGTCACTGGAAGAAGGGTTTCATTGTACCGGTGGTCATTAGAAGAAGGGTGCCATTACAATGGTTGTCATTGGAAGAAGGGTCTCATTACACTGGTGGTCAGTGGATGAAGGGTACCTTATGTTTATTGATTGCAAGAATTTTAATAAGGAAAAATTGGAAGAATGTTGCCATTACAGTAGTGGTTATTGGGAGAAAGGCCTCATTACACTGGTGGTCATTGGAACAAGGATGCCATTACAATGGAGGTCATTGGAAGAAGGGCCTTATTACACTGGTGGCCACTGGAAGACGGGCTCTTTTGAGCACCCTGCTATATGTTTTTGCAATCGACCCTTTTCTAAGAAGGCTAGGGGGTGGATCATTGTGTTGGGTGCCTTTGGGCATTGCTGGTGTGCCGCTTTGAAGGTCATGACCTATGCCAGTGATGTGTCTGTTATTGTCTCTGGGACTGACTTTAAGGCCTGGTTCACATTAGTGCAATTTCTGATGCAACTTAAGTCGCTCAGAATCACATGACTATGGAAATTACATTTATTTCAACGGTGCCTGTTCACAATAATGAAACACAACTGTGATGCAACTTTGGGGAAGGGTCCTGTGCTACATTGGTGTGATGCAATGAGATTTTGTGCCCCATAGACTGCAATGGAAACTCATCAAAAATGCAAACTACACTCCTTTTTTATTCAATTCCAATGTGATTTTTTTCCCCCAACAATTCTCCTCCTCCAGAAATTGCAGTAGTATGAAAAACGCAAAAAAATGCATCAAAAACACATTGTTGCACTGCAGCTGTAATACATAATTGCACTTGATATTGGATGAGATCGCAGTTAGTGTGAACCAAGCCTAAAAGAAGACATTGCTAATGCCCAGTGGGCATTCACCAGATGTCAGGGCAGAGAAATGGTATTGAACCATGCGCACTATACAGGTTTGTGAATGACGTACCCCTACATTGGTGTACAACCACAACACACATCCCATGGTTGGGTGCCATGCACTTCTAATGAAACCTCTATGTATTGTTAGGGCTCATTTACATTTGCTTTGACTTCCGCCTACCGCTTCAAAATGATTTTTTGTTGTGTTTTTGATGCTTCTGTGATGCTTTTTTAAAGCTTTAATGAAGCTCTTCAGATTCCCTGTGTGTTTGTTTATTTTCTATTTGTTTTAAAAGGGTCCCAGATCGGTAGTGCCCTCGCTCAGCAGATCCCTAACGCCTTAGTCAACTGTATAGCATTGGTACCCTGGTTCAGCAGATTCCCAGCTTATTAGTACCCTTGTTCAGCAGATCCCCTGCTTAGTAGTACTCCCAGCTCTGTTGATGCCCCACTCAGTAGTACCCCCAGCTTTGCTGATCCCTGGCTCAGAAGTATCCCCCTGCTCTGCTTATCCCCCATTCAGTAGTAATCCCCCACTCTGCTGATCCATCACTCAGTAGTGACCCCCAGCTCTGCTGATGCCCACTTAGTAGGGCCCCCAGCTTTGCTGATCCCTGGTTCAGTAGTATCCCCCTGCTCTGCTGATCCCCCATACAGTAGTAACCCCCAGCTCTGCTGATTCCCCCACTTAGTAGTAACCCCCCTGCTCTGCTAATCCCCACTCAGTAGTGACCCCCCCCAGCTTTGCTGATCCCCGGCTCACTAAAATCCCCCTGCTTTGCTGATCCCCCATACAGTAGTAACCCCCAGCTCTGCTGATCCCTCACTCAGTAGTAACCCCCCTGCTCTGCTGATCCCCCACTCAGTAGTGAACCCCAGCTCTGTTGATGCCCACTTAGTAGTACCCCCAGCTTTTCTGATCCCTGGCTCAGAAGTATCCCCCTGCTCTGCTTATCCTTCGTTCAGTAGTAACCTCCCACTCTGCTGATCCGCCACTCAGTAGTGACCCCCAGCTCTGCTGATGCCCACTTAGTAGGACCCCAGCTTTGCTGATCCCTGGCTCAGTAGTATCCCCCTGCTCTGCTGATCCCCCGTACAGTAGTAACCCCCAGCTCTGCTGATCCCCCACTCAGTAGTAACCCCCAGCTCTGCTGATGCCCACTTAGTAGTACCCCCAGCTTTGCAGATCCCTGGCTCAGTAATATCCCCCTGCTTTGCTGAACCCCTGCTCTGCTGATCCCTCACTCAGTAGTAACCCCCCCTGCTCTGCTGATCCCCCACTCAGTATTGACTCCCAGCTCTGCTGATGCCCACTTAGTAGTACCCCCAGCTTTGCTGATCCCCAGCTCAGTAGTAGCTCCCAGCTCTGCTGATCCCCCACCCAGTGGTAACCTCTAGCTCTGCTGATCCCCCACTCAATAGTAGCCCCCAGTTCTGCTGATCTCCTGCTCAGTCGTAACTCCCAGCTCTGCTGATTCCCTTCTCAGTAATACTCTCAGCTCTGCTGATCCCCCACTCAGCAGTAACCCCCACCTCTGCTGATCCTCCTCTCTCTCTGGTCCCTGCTCACTTCCCTGTTTATTTTTCTCCCACTCTGTACACTACATGTGACATTGCTAGTCTCTCCTGCTCTGGTCTGCCAGTTCTGCTGATCCTTCGCCACGCAGTCCTCTCTCTCCGGTCCCCGCTCACCTTCTGCTATAGCATTCCCATGTTGCAAACTAAGTGTGCCATCTGCTAGTTGCTCTGCTCTGGTCCGGACCCCGCTCACCTTCCTGCTGCTCCACTCCGCACACCAGATGTGACATCTGCACCAGACACTTCCAGAATACATACTCATGAACCGGAAGTGACTGCTGAGGACATCTTTCTGGTTTCCCAGTGCATTCTGGGATATCTCATACCTGTAATACCTCCAAAACAAAGCGAAGCTAAAGCTGAATAAAAGCCTCTCAAATGCTGCAGGTGCTGTAAGCGAGCGTTGTCATAGACCTCTATGGAGTCTTTGAAGACGCTTTGAAGCACCAAGAAAGTGACACGGGGTATTATTTTTGAAGCGATGCAAAGCAAAGCAAGCACAACAGTGTGAACGGGACTGTAAGCTTACCATTTTATTTCGTAAGAGGTGCTTTGATTGGCATTCAAAGCGCTTTAATAAAGCATGACCAATGCCACATCTTGATGCACGTGTAAACTAGCCCTTACAGTAGTGAGCAACACACCTACACTGCATCACACCCACAACTCACATGCCCTGTGTTCTGTTGCACCGCATAAAAAATAGGTACACGTTCAATATTTTGTAACTTAGTGTGTCTCTAAAGGCAAAACTTTTTTATCTTTAGTTTTGGAGTGGAGAGGGATTTGAACCCCTGTCCAGTTTTTATTGCTGCCTGTGTCTCCGTCTACTCCTCCATAAGCTACAAAGGCAGCAGAAGGGGGTGTACATATGCCGTGGCACTTTGCATCGTGGCATGGAAAAAAAAAATCCCCACTGTCGCACTCGGGGGACTGTAACTCCCGCCGAACGCGACCCATTAAACTTAAAATTGGGGGACCCCCCCTACAACCTACCTACAACTGGCAAGCTGGTGCAGGTGGAAAGGAGGTAATGTAACGCCTCCTCACCGCTTTTGAAATGCACAGATTGCGCTTCAGAGGGCACAGCAGGGCCGTGGATAAGGGGGTACCCCTAGTCCTCTTGTATGGGGCCCAGGCCAGCAGGGGAGCCGTGGCAGCTGGGTGAATCAGATGTGGGCAGGAAGGATGATCGGCATGGCAAGGGCAATTACTGGAACCGATCCCCTGTATGGCTTTCTCTGCAGCAGCTGAAAGCTGGCTTCTTCGCCTCTCCCTCCTGCTGGCTGTGAGCTGCTGCCAAGAGAGCCGTGCGGTGGATCGGTTCCAGTAATTGCCCCCCCCCTCCCCATCACCCTGCCTCTGCACCATACATTTCCACCTGCTGCCCAGGCCCTCTGTGTGGGTCCCCACGCCTGCAGTACTGCCGGATTCTCTCCTCTCCTTCCCTCCTCTCCTTCCCACCTGCACCTGCAAGCACACAATAGGATCCCTCAGGATGGAGAGTGGCGGGGGGAGGGTTTAGTAAAAATGTCACATTTACCAGCCCCTTCCTTTCCTGAATGAACACAATGAGTGATCAGTACTGATCACTCACTGTGTTCATTCATAACGGAAGCATAGTAAACTGTGGGGTTTTTTTGGGTGGGAGGGGGGCCTGTCAGCTTGGCTGCATGGGGCCCCTTGGTTTCTAACAGCAGCCCTGGGGCACAGCATATGTAATTGAGCCCTAAATAAGCAGGGACAGGGACCTCGTCATAGCTGAATGTCCAGCTGCCATCTTTGTTGTGGGAAATCTTCAGTGAAGTTGGGGGTTGGGGGAGATAAAATTCAAGCGAGACGACCAGCCAGACCCTATGTGTAAAGGCACGGGCCTATGTGTCCTAACCACAGATGAGAATGCTGATGATTTTGGCGTCTCTCACCTCCATCTTGGCTTTCTTCTGGGTTTTCCCAGCTTCACCTTCACTCTCGGAGGAATCTTTCACCCTTTCCCTTTTACTGCTCTTCGGGACAGAGTCGTCCATGCGGCCCTTCTGTTTGGAGGGGGAAAAAAAAAAAAGATTAGGGGTTGTTCACATTTTGTGGCCCCCTCTAAAAAGCAATGGTGGATCGCTTTTTCGAAGACATTTGGCAGGCGGTGAGTTGAGTTAACCCTGTAAATGTCGCACCGCCGTGCCGCAATGACACGCATTGCATAGATTTGCACGGGTCACATTTGATGGTGGTAACGTCCACTGAAAGAAACATGCTGTTTATTTTTGCTGCAGCCATGAGCCACAGTATTGCGGCCACGGCTTGTGTTCAGTCCTCAGCCTCATTCAGGAGGGTGGTTGGGGAGGCCAGTAAAACCTTGGCTCATCCACCTGGTTTTACCGCCCCCTGTCTGCATGTGTGAAGGAACCCTAAATGTGGAGGATCACTAATTATTTTCTATAGAATCCCCCTTTACTTTATATGACAAGGAACCGCAAAGAGAAATACTGATGTGCAAAACTTCATAACCCATGGCAACCGGATCTCATTTCATTCGAGTAATAGCTAGTACAAGATGTAATCTCATCAGCTTACTACTCATCACCTTGGACCTCATTCACATGGGCCGCTCTGCAAATTCCAGTCGCAATAATCAGCAGATTCTGTGGTTAGGGACAAATGGTCACCCCGGATGTGCACTCCGGCATCCAGGGGCAATCACCGTCCCTCACCAAAGGTAACCGCTACATAGACGGTTAGAAACGCAGAAATATTCACCCGCTGTTATGTCACATGATGAATATGGCTGTAAGAATCCACAGACCGGCCCCAGATGCCCCCGAAAAAAAGCCCAAACACTTTAGGAAATGTTGCCCATGGCAACCAGATCCAATCACTTCAGGAACTGTCTACATCACCCACAGCAACCAGATCCAAAACCTACAGGAACAGTCTACATCGCCCACAGCAACCAGATCCAATCACAGTCTCAGGAGCAACAGTCTACATCGCCCATATCAAACTTCAGGAACAGTCTACATCGCCCATATCAAACAGATCCACACGCTTCAGGATACATTTTGCATCACCCATAGCAACCAGATCAAAAGCTACGAAGCAGTCTACGTCACCCGTGGCAACCAGATCCAAATGCTTCAGGAACTGTCTGCATCGCCCATAGCAATCAGATCTAAATGCTTCAGGAACTGTCTACATGACCCATAGCAACCAGATCCAAACGCTTTAGGAACTGTCTACATCACCCATAGCAACCAGATCCAAATGCTTCAGAAACTGTCTACATCACCCATAGCAACCAGATCCAAACTCTTTAGAAACTGTCTGTATTGCCCATAGCAACCAGATCCAAACGCTTCAGAAACTGTCTGCATCACCAATAGCAACCAGATCCAAAAGCTTCAGGAACTGTCTACATGACCCATAGCAACCAGATCCAAACTCTTTAGAAACTGTCTGTATTGCCCATAGCAAAACATCACCCATAGCAACCAGATCCAAATGCTTCAGAAACTGTCTACATCATGTATAGCAACTAGATACAAATGCTTCAGGAACTGTGTGCATTGCCCATAGCAGCCAGATCCAAACGCTTCAGGACCTGTCTACATAAACCATACCAACCAGATCCAAAAGCTAAAGAAGTGGTCAGCGTCGCCCATAGCAACCAGATCCAAATGCTTCAGGAACTGTCTACATCACCCATAGCATCCAGATCCAAACACTTCAGGAACTCTCTGCATCACCCATAGCATCCAGATCCAAAAGCTACAGGAGCAGTCTGTGTTGCCTGTAGCAACCAGATCCAAACTCTTCAGGAACTGTCTACATCACCCATAGCATCCAGATCCAAAACACTTCAGGAACTCTCTGCATCACCCATAGCAACCAGATCAAAAAAGCTACAGGAGCGGTCTGCATCGCCTGTAGCAACCAGATCCAAACACTTCAGAAAACAGTCTGCGTCACCTATAGCAACCGGATCCAAACACTTCAGAACACAGTCTGCTTCACCTATAGCAACCGGATCCAAACACTTCAGGAAACAGTCTGCGTCACCCATAGCAACCGGATACAAACACTTCAGGAAACAGTCTGTGTCACCTATAGCAACTAGATCCAAACACTTCAGGAAACAGTCTGCATCACCTATAGCATCCAGATTGGCTTTAGGAACTGTCTACATCCCCCATAGCAACAAAATCCCCACCCTTCTGCTTATGCAGGTTACAGGGTGAAACAATGGATCTGGTTGCTAGGGGCGACACTGAATGAGGCCCTTTGTTGGTCTTTCTCACCTTCGCAGGTGGTCGGCCCTTCTCACACTTGCTGTCACTGCTGGATGTGCTGATGGCACCCGGGGACGCCCTCCCCCGCGCTCTCCGTTCCTCCCGTGGGCCCACGCTCTCCTTTTTCCTTCCGCTCCTCATCGACATCTTCATGGCGGCGTAGACCGAGCAGAGAGAAGACGGGAAGAAATGGCGGTTAGCTGTATTACAGATCTTATATCTTATATAATAAAATATCGCAGGAATTATTTATTCAGATTCCGGCCTCCCAGTGACCTTGAAAGGAATGTCGACCCTTTAGGCCTCATTCACATTGGACTCCTGTGTTCATTTTAGTTGAATGAAGGAGAAATCGATTGTGTTTGTTTATGTTTATAAAGCTGCGTTCACACTTCTCCATTGCAAAAGCATGGCAAAAAATATGCGTTTTTGCTGCGGTTTGTGGCTGCCAGACATCAGCCTGCACCTGCAAAAATAGGATGTGACTCAAAAAAAGCACCAAAACCGCAACTGCGGGTGCGTTTTGCCATGTTTGCGATGCGTTTTTCATTCATTTCAATAGGGAGGTGTGTTTCTGGCGCAGTAGTTATTTACTGCACCAAAAATGCAGTAAATTTTTCGCCCACACCCACCCACAAAAGCCTATAAAAAAGCCAATGAAAGGTACCAGGGGCATCTCATGGGGCCCCCTACTGACCCCGGGCCCTCGGGCAGTGCCCGAGTGCTCAAATGGTCAGTCCGGCCCTGGGTACATGCATATTCCCCATGTTTTCTCTTTCTAAAAATACTGCTGATATGCCAGATATCCGGTGAGCTGTCAACGCTGCCTCTGCTGCACTGAAATCCCAAGAAGTGTTGTCAGCCCTGCCTGAGATTTCCCCTGCCGGACTACATAACCTATTGGGGAGATGGTCTGTAGTCCAGCACAAGGAGAACTGGGCGGGGCTGACAACACTGCTTGGGATTTCAGTGCAGTGTGGCAGCGTTGTCAGCTCCTTACAGGAAATTCAGAGCTCATTGGGTTACTGGCAGACAAAGGATGACACTAAATGTGATTTTGTATTCATTTTGGCCAAACAAACATTTTAAATTGTGTAAACCCAGGACCAGAAATGGAATACATTACCAATCCTTACATGTGATGACTGCTAGTTTTCTTTCTTTTTTTTTTTTTTCTTTGGGATTTTTCCTTTTTTTCATGGTGATCCTTCCAGAAAGACTACTTATTCTATAATGACAACATTCGGTCATTGGACTGTATCTGTGGAGGATCAGTGTTGTCACCATAGGACAGGAAGTGTATTGGGACCAGGGGTGGACTGACCATTTGGAAACTCGGGCGCTGCCCGAGGGCCCGGGGTCAGTAGGGGGCCCCATGAGATGCCCCTGGCATCTTTTTCATGGGTTTTTTTGAGTTTGAGCAAGGACACAGGGGCCCCATGATCCCCTATTGCCCGGGGGCCCCATGAGTTGTCAGTGTGCCCCTGATAGGTATAAAGCTTGTCTCTAATGACATGCTTCAGTCAGGCATACAGAGAACTCTATAAAGTGAACCTGTCATCAATCAGGGAGAGTTCAGGGGCTGCTGAAAAAAATGCAGAAAAGCTCCTGAACGTCAGTTTATCAGCTGCAGTGTACATGAGCCCTAATGGTGCATTTGTGATTGATGACAGGTTCACTTTACCACTCAGCGTTCTCTGTATGCCTGACTGAAGCATGTCATTAGAGACAAGCTTTATACCTATCAGGGGTAGACTGACAACTCATGGGGCCCCCGGGCAATAGGGGATCATGGGGCCCCTGTGTCCTTGCCCAAACTCAAAAAAACCTATGAAAAAGGTACCAGGGGCATCTCATGGGGCCCCCTACTGACACCGGGCCCCCGGGCAGTGCCCGAGTTTCCAAATGGTCAGTCCGTCCCTGATACCTATACATCAAATGCAGGTAATGTTTTTTTTTTGTTTTGTTTTTTTTTTTGTTGTTCCATCTGATGTTTAAATTGACCAGTGGTGTCCCTAGGCAGGTGCGGGGGTCCGCGCCGCACCGGGTGACACCAGACCTGCTCCTTGAAAAGGTAAGTTGTAAAGCAAGCTGACGATCCCCGCAGGATGGATCGGATCTGCGGATTGAGCATAATGGATCGGACTCTGATCCATTATGCTCCCCAATCCGCAGATCCATTCCATCCTGCGGGAATCGTCGGCTTTCTTTACAACTTACCTTTTCGTGGAGCGGGTCCGGTGTTGCCCCGTATAGGTTGCATGCCGACGATCCCCGCAGGATGGATCGGATCTGCGGATTGGGGAGCATAATGGATCGGACTCCAATCCATTATGCTCAATCTGTAGATCCGATCCATCCTGCGGGAATCGTCGGCTTGCTTTACAACTTACCTTTTCGCGGAGCGGGTCCGGTGTCACCCCGTATAGGTTGCATGCCGACAATCCCCGCAGAATGGATCGGATCTGCGGATTGAGCATAATGGATCGGACTCTGATCCATTATGCTCCCCAGTCCGCAGATCCAATCCATCCTGCGGGAATCGTTGGCTTGCTGTACAACTTACCTTTTCGTGGAGCGGGTCCGGTGTTGCCCCGTATAGGTTGCATGCCGACGATCCCCGCAGGATGGATCGGATCTGCGGACTGGGGAGCATAATGGATCGGACTCCAATCCATTATGCTCATTCTGCAGATCCGATCCATCCTGCGGGGATCGGCAGCTTGCTTTACAACTTACCTTTTCGTGGAACGGGTCCGGCGTCACCCCGTATAGGTTGCATGCCGACGATCCCCACAGGATGGATCGGATCTGCGGATTGGGGAGCATAATGGATCAGACTCCGATCCATTATGCTCAATCCACAGATCCGATCCATTCTGCAGGGATCGTCGGTGGGGGTGTCACCAAGTGTTAGCTCACCGGGTGACACCAACCCTAGGGACGCCCCTGAAATTCACAATACAAATTATACAGTAGAATATTCGTCCAAAGGTCCAAATAAAAAGCGATCCTATCATGTGAGCAGCTTCTTCTTCTAGAACAACAGATCAATGCAAAGTATGCAAGCACTCACCGAGTCTTTGTTCTGTCGGGTTTTCATATTGTAGGGTGGAGGGGCCCCATTTCTTCTACGGGATTAGATAACGTAAATTGCCCCCACAGACCCGCGCCCCACCGGCCAGGCTGCTTGAGGAAAAGGAGTTTGGGGGCGGGGACCAATATCTGGTCAGGAAACGCCTACCTGAGAAGAGAAAGAAGTAGATTTTGTTTTCAGGACAATTATTAAATTAGAATCTTTAGAATGAAAAATACAGGCACAGCTGAAATACATATGAGGGAGTTGCCACAGGATTTGCATTTCTGTCCATCCAGTCCTGAGATTTACACGGCTCTGTCACACAGCACAGAAAGGTTAGTGAGCCTAATATTCCTATTCGGAGTTAAAACATATTTAAAATCCAAGAACAGAAATGTAACATATTTCATTTATTACTGGTCCTGAGATGTGGTGGTGGCTGCGTTAGTTTCCTTTTTTTCCAGGCTTTTTTTTTTTTTATTTTATTTTCACCTGCCAATAACGCGCTTCCTGTCCTACGGTGACAACGCTCAGTGGGATTGATTTACTAAAGGCAAATAAACCGCAAAGTGCAGTCGCTTCAGAGCTTAGTAAATGACTTCCATCATCCAATCGTGTGCAAGCAAAAATGCTGTTTTTTATTTTTCATTTTCCTTGCACGTGATTGGGCATTCTTTGCGAAGTAAATCTTTACCTCATTTACTAAGCTCTGGAGCAACATCTCTTGGAAGAGTGCAACTGCATTTTGCAAAGTGCACAGTCTATTTGCCTTTAGTAAATCAACACCATTGGTCAGGAGCAGCAGCGCCGACCAGTTGGGTCCTTGTACAACAGATGCTTATACATTGTTGATATTGACATGTCAACCCGGAGCAGCAGTGGAGGATCATCAGAGCTGGAGGTTACTACTGAGTGGAGGATCTTCAGAGCTGGGGGTTACTGCTGAGTGGGGGATCATCAGAGCTGGGGGTTACTGCTTAGTGGGGTTCATCAGAGCTGGGGGTTACTGCTGCGTGGGGGATCATCAGAGCTGGGGGTTACTGCTAAGCAGGGGATCAGCAGAGCTGGGGGCTACTACTGAGTGGGGGATCTTCAGAGCTGGGTGTTACTACTAAGTGGAAGATGATCAGAGCTGGAGGTTACTGCTGAGTGGGGATCAGCATCAGCAGAGATGGGGGTTACTACTGAGTGGGGGATCAGCAGAGATGGGGGTTACTACTGAGTGCGGGATCTTCAGAACTGGGTGTTATTAGTAAGCGGGGGATCAGCAGAGCTAGGGGTTACTACTGAGCCAGGAATCTGCAAATCTGGGGGTACTACTGAGTGGGGGATCAGCAGAGTTGGGGGTTACTACTGAGTGGGGGATCTTCAGAGCTTGGGGTTACTACTAAGTGGAAGATCATCAGAGCTGGAGGTTACTGCTGAGTGGAAGATCATCAGAGCTGGAGGTTACTACTAAGTGGAAGATCATCAGAGCTGGAGGTTACTACTAAGTGGAGGATCATCAGAGCTGGAGGTTACTGCTGAGTGGGGGATCAGCAGAGAGATGGGGGGTTACTGCTGAGTGGGGGATCAGCAGAGATGGGGGTTACTGCTGAGTGGGGGATCTTCAAAGCTTGGAGTTACTACTAAGCGGGGGGATCAGCAGAGCTGGGGATACTACTGGGGGGTGGGCCATCAACAGACCTGGGGGTACTGTTGAGCAGAGAATCTGCTGTATGAGGGTACTAATAAGCTGGGGATCTCTTGAACGAGGGCACCAATGATGAAAAGGGGTACTAAGGAGCTAGGGATCTGCTGAGTGGGGGTACGACTGAGCCCGGGTTCTACTGAGCCCCTTTAAAACCAATTAAAAATCAAGATACACACAAGGCATCTGCCAAACGTCATTCAAACGACAAACGAGCTTCACCGAAGCATCACAACACATCAGATAAGCATGCTGAAGCAGTAGGCGCTTTAATGTGTGTTGAAGTCGAAGCAAGTGTGAATGAGCCCTTCCATGCATACGGCGTATAATACGCCTGGAATGACGGTGCCGGATGCAGCTGTCTCCTATTGTTTTTGCAGGCTGCAATCTGCAACTGTGTGGAGGGGCCCATAGACCAGTACTCAGCGGTGTACAGATCCATACAATCCTAGGCGGTATGCCGAGTATTTTACATCCATGTGAATGAGATCGTATATTATTACTGTGATATTGGATGACAGCAATGATACAAAGTAACCATATAAGGAATTATCGGGGTCCCCGCGCCTTTTATCTCCTTTCCCAAACTCAGACGCTCCCCTCCACCTTCCAAGGCTATTGATACGAGATCTGACAACATGCGATCGCTATAACCAATATTTATCTAACATTTTTCTCATTTGTGCGCAAAAAAGTTTGACATTTTCGTGATGTAAGCGACGACTTCCTTTGTGTCCGATGGTGACAAGGACATACACGGCAGGTAAAACCAACCGATCGCTTCATGGCTTTGCAACAAAGTAACACATTTTTTTTCCCTCTGCGATTCCTGGATAGCGCCGTCCTAAGCCAGAGCGTCTCTACGCCTTGAGGACATAAACCGCCCCGTCCACGCGTCACCCTACACCGACCCATTGTGCCGTACGCAGCACATCCCCCGCTCTGTACTTACAATTCTCCTTCTCACCTCCTGCTGGAACACACCGGGAACCCAGCGTGAACTTTGTGTCATGTGGTTGCTCGGGGGGGCGGGGCTAAGCCACAGTGCGATCCCTGCGTTAGTAGGTGTGGAAGTCATGTGACCTTACCTTCAGCCGCAGAGTTCACTGTGCAAGACTGGTTCATTCATTAATGCGTAACCAGGAACTGAACATGTGAAGGCATGATGGTGGCAAGAGCGACGCGCACGGCGGTGGGCATGCTTTCACTTGTAGTTCCATGGCAGCAAATTAATTACATTTACCACTATATTGTCCCGAGCGCGATTTGTCTATTTTATTTTTGTGGCTGCAATCACGTTTTACATTTCATGAACATGCGCAAAAATTGCGCCGTGTTTTTTGTGCAGCACGCATTGATTGCAATGGGCTACTGTATGTGCAGCAAAGTAGCGCATGTACGTTTATGAGTGTTACGCATTGCGCATCTTTTGACCGCGCGTTATGGCGTGCTTTTTTTCACACCACAAACGCGTGTCTTTTCGCGCTTGAGGTGCCATTGACAACGAAAGGCAATGCAAGCGCGACAGGCATTTTTTCACCCTTTTCGTAAATGCGTGCAAAATCGTGCAACTTTGCGTGCGTTCGGAAAACGCTAAAGTGTGAATGCGGTCTTAGGGCCCATTCACAGCTCCCTGCTCACCTGTGTTGTGCTAACATACGCATATAAGCCCGGGTTCACACTTGAGCGGTGCGGAATTCGCTGCAAATTCCACAGCACATCAGAATCGCACCCCATTACTGCGAACCGCTGCAATTGTGTATGTTAACAACACCCCGAAAGCGGTCCGAAAAACGTGGTGCGATGTGTGGAATCGGATCGCATAGGTGTGAATACCCATGCGTTCCGATTCTAGTGCGGACCCAAAAAAGGATTCTGCATCTTTTTGGTGCGGATGCGGTGCTATTAGAGCCATACAAAATGTATGGCTCCGATTGCACCGCACACAAATGGCATGTGATTCACACAGGAATACGGTGTGGTTTCTGTGCCAATCACATGCGATTTACCGTACCGCATATATGTGAACCCGGGCTTAAAGTGCATTGCAGCCTTTTCAAATCAATGGGCCGCCAACACACCAGAAAGGACAAAAAAATTGGTTTTGTACTTTTCCTCTGACATGTTGGAGACACGTAGGGGTAAAGTGTCGGGTGCCACTGATAATAAATGGTACCTTGTGCTAACATGCGTTGCAGGAATGTGCGTATGCATGCGTTCCCACAACTCACCACCCTAGAAGGTTGTTAATGGGGCCATAGGCTGGCTCCACACCTTTGGGCTGCATGACGCATGGCAAAACCTTAAAAACCATTATTGCAATGCCCCATGTATGTGCATGTGAATGGCACAACACACATATACATCAGAACTAAACGCACCCTACAGAGCACCACACACAGCGCATGATGTGAATGTACTGTGGTGCCAAAAATAGTGCAGCTGCCTTATTTGTATGTCTATGTGCCTTCGATCAGCTCAATGAAAAAATGGTGCAGCGGTGCAGAGGGGCCCTTAGGCTGAATTCACACCACTTGGGCTGCAGTTAGTGCACATTAATGTCTAATGCACCTTTTGACATGTATTTCTTTATGCATTGCATTGATGTGTTTTTTGGGGTTATTTTTGGTTCACAGCTGCAGCCAAAACATAGGGTGAATGGGACCCAGGGGAGGACTGACAACTCATGGGGCCCCCGGGCAATAGGAGATCATGGGGCCCCTGTGTCCTTGCCCAAACTCAAAAAAGCCTATGAAAAAGGAACCAGGGGCATCTCATGGGGCCCCCTACTGACCCCGGGCCCTCGGGCAGTGCCCGAGTTTCCAAATGGTCAGTCTGCCCCTGATGGGACCCCTAAAGCTTGACTCCTGAGGTGTTCAGGATGGATGAGGGGGAACTGGCCGGATTATACGTCATGGTCCCCAGGGTGGTGTGCCACTGTAAGGTCCCAGCAGTCCATCAGGAACTCTTCCTCTACTTGGCAGTCATGACTCTGCATCTAAGGCTTCTGCTTATAGCCTGAGCACAAGGGAGGCCTATGGAGCTCTGGCATGTTCTGGATTATTCTGTAGTTAGGTTCCATTCACACTTCTGTGACTCCAAAGTCACGTGATTTACATTGCGACTTTGATGCAACTTTGGATGGGTGTGACTTGAATGCAACTTTGGCTGTTAACTTTGGCTTTGACTGTTGCACAGCGGTTGCATTGACAACATTAAGATGCGACTCGTGACTTTTGAGAGTTTACATTGCAGTCTATGACACTCAAGTCGCATAACGTAGTGCAGGAACCTTTTTAAAGTCGCTGTGACTTTAGGACGCATAGATTTGAAC